TCACCATATCGTGATATATGGTAGTTCTTATATCGTCAAATTTTTTGTTCAGATAAGATCATCTACTTAATTTTAGATAGCATATCACGATGATATTAGTTTTAGAATTAATGTCATTAGTAACATTGTCTCATTAAAAGTACCCGGTACCAGAAATTATGGTAAAATTTTTTGTTCAGATGAGATCATATATTAAGCTTACCTATTTCTACCTTCACACCCCTGGAGTAAGCACCTGGACTTTTCACACCCCCAAAAATTTGTTTCATCCACATTTGCAACATGTGATGATGTGAAGTGCTCTCTAAGTTAATCTCCTACACCAGTTGGCCACACCCCTGACACCTTAGTCCCACACCCCCAGGGGGTGAAAACACCCCAGGTTGAAAACCAGGGTCATACATGATTTTAACAATAACTTAATTATTGAAACAGATGTTTTTTTTAATGATATTTAAGACTAGTTATTGTTTGATATCTGTTTTATTTATGGTATGTTTTAATTGTAAGTTTTTTTTGATGAGTAAAGGCTTTAAGCATATTGTGTTAATGGCTGAAACCAGTCATACAAAACTGTACAGTAATTTTTAATCCATTTTTATTGTAGGGTGATAAAGACGATTTCTTCAGGAAAAACAAACAGAAACAGAACAATGTGTGTTACAAAAAAACTTTGTATAATTTGTTTTCTGTTGAGTTATTTCCTCTCTGTATCATATTCTCTTGCTGCGACGACTGCCCCAACTAAGCCCACTGATAAACATACTCATAAGCATGAAGATCTTCAAATTGCAAAAGAGTACACTAAAAAAATCATTGCGGAGGAAAGCCGATATTTTATTGATAAGATATTTGAGCGATACGGAAGTGAAAATGGAACTATTACATTCGATATGTTATCAAGTTTAATGTATAATTTAGGACTAGGAAGAAATGTCTCAAATGATAACCAATCAGTGAGTTCTGCTGAAATTGATGAAGAATTTGATCTTGATCACCCACAGCATGTTCACCTAACAAACGTTCCTAGTCACAATCATCCAGACTCTGACACTACTAAACATAAACATTCACATGATCTTTCTGACTTAAATCATGATAGTCACAATCATCAAGACTCTGACACTACTAAACATAAACATTCACATGATCTTTCTGACTTAAATCATGATAGCCACGATCATCCAGACAGCCATGATCATAGTAGTCCCAATTATCCAGATGTTTCAGATCATGCTAGTCACAATCATCAAGACTCAGAAGTGCATGACCATGATAAGGATGATCACGATGATATCGAAAAAAATCCCAACGTGCCGGTAGAAAGTGAGAAATCTGTTTCGGAAGTTCTTGGTTCCGATCAAGCAGAAGGAACAGAAATTGAAGTGGAGTCTGAAATGCAAGATACGACAACGAAAAAACCAAAAAGGAAGAAAAATCGTAAGAGACAGAAGAAAAAGAAAAGCAAGACTAATAAAGGTACAGAAAGCAGATTGGTAAAACGGTCAGCTGATATTGAAATCCATAACGATCATTCCTACGTAAGTTTTTAAATCATTTTATATGTCTTCATGAAATGATGGGGTAGGGGATGCCACCTATGTCTGTCGGTCCGTCCACAATTACTCGTAAACACTTCTAGAAGGCACAATTTTTAATAAACCGAAACACCTGTCTCTATTCCAGCCATTCCAGCTATTTGGGCAGATGTCAGCTGGTGTAGAGACAGAAAAAATATACGCTGTTAAATGGGGACATTCTGCATTTCCTCAGGTGCGAGAGTTTTAAACCAATTTTTTTTTGATGAAACTGATCTAGAATCGGCCATTGAAAATTGTGTGCGCTGTCAAAAGTTTTAAGGTCACATAGTCACGTGATACGATTTTAATTTAAAATCAAAGCTGCCATTGGACGGCAACCAATCTCTTCTTTTCTTCAAACACTTAGATTTGTATTTAAATTATTTTTATTTTAACTCTGATACTTTGGCTTGATGATGAAACGATTGTTTTGATGATATCACCGTTTAAACCACTCTCCAATATCGATTTGTAGATTTATAGATAGAAATGGACCCTGGGGCTTTTTTACGATTGTGGAATTTTATATTTTGAGAGATACTTCAGGGCTAGTGTCTTATATTGGTATTTCTGGTAAGAGGAAATAAAACATTGAGGAAATACGAGACTTTTGATAAAATTGATTTTAAGATTTTTTGATAAACGAGCCCCTGTGATTCATTCTTGAATCTAAACTGAGATGAAATTAATATTTTGATAAATACAGTTTTAGTAACCTGAATCTAGATATTAAAACAAAATATAAAACTATTTTGGTGAGTGACTAATTTTTGATTTAATTTTTTTGAGAAAATAGGCCCTGGTGATAATCTGTTTAAAATCTAAAAGGTCAAAGGGAAGTTTATATCAATGAAATAGGAGTAGGATATTGCCTCATATATTTAAATAAATACTCAGTGGGCAAAGGTCAATTATTGATGATTAATTTAAAATAAACCTGAAACAGTCCAAGGAATCCTTGAAGAGATGGGTTGACCAACCTGGTTGACCAATTCCAGTCGAAATTTTTATCCTTCAAATCTATGTGTGTCCAAAATTATCTGCGTTTAAATGTTAAATTGACGACTCATCATTTCTTCATGTATAGAAAAGATATCTATAGAAATAGGAACAGAAATCCTAGTTTGAAGTTTGTTTAAAGGAATTATGCGATTTCTAGTACTTCTGAAGATTATTTACATAATTATGTTCAAGATTAAAATCACCCCCCCAAAATGGCGCACCTGTCCCTTTAAAATGACCTGCATTATTTCATATCAAAGTTATTGTTCTCTATAAAATTGTGACTTATTCATTACTCAAGTAACTAAATATCCTTGAAATAAGTCAAGATATTAATAGTAGGTTTAACAATATTTCTAATAGTTTATCAATACAGTGAAAGAAATATAAGAGTATAATTTTAAAATAGGTCCAGTTATTTCATATCAAAGTTATTGTTCTCTATAAAACTGAGTTATTAATTCTTCAAGTAATAAAAACTATTTAAATAAGATTTATCAATATTCTTATAGTTTATCAATACAGTGAAAGAAATATAAGAGTACAATTTTCACAACGACAAATCTGTCCCTCTAAGAAACTCTACTATAGATGAAGACATGGTCTGTAGTCAGATTGGTGTCTTGTAAGATATCTTACTATAATTGTTAATATTTTTATTACATTATGTTAGGAATTTATATTGATCAACAATATAGTAAATATTAAAGACAACTCAATGATCTATGGACACTCTACAGACATCTTTATATATCTTCTATAAAACTTGAACGATATTTAAAAGTGAGGAGTACAAATCACAGACACAAGACAATATTATAATATGATTTAGATGTGACAATACACTGAGTCCTTGTGTGCTACAGGCTGTGCATGTTCTAGATCCCTCGACAGTTGAAATAGAAAAAGAGCAGGTTCATGCCACTGTCCTGGCAAAATTTCTCTCATAGTACACTGCATGGTGTTGATCATCTTCAACGTATTTTATGTACAATCGATAAAACCAGTTTTAAGTACAAATGACTGAAGGCAAAAAGAAAATCTTGATAACATAAGATAAGAAAAGATATTTCTTAAAATTTGGCAATAAGATGAAATATGATCTGTGATAGAAGATAAAATAATAGGATTTAGAGAGATAAACTGATGTAGATTATATACAAGATAGACAGAGAGTGCTTACAAACTCTTAATAACTTTATCCAGATATAAATCATTAAGGACAAGACTCACAATGTAGGTGGAAACCCTTGAAGGCATCGTCCCATCAATCAACATTTTAAATTGTTGTTACCTTATAGGAGGTGTTGCCATGTCAACCATTTTGTTAGAGTAAAATGTAGAAATGTGGCTTTATTTCAAACTTATGATCTGCCAAATTTAAGTTTCCACTTGTTAGTTTTCATGTATCCCCCCCACCCCACAGTTTTGATTTTCTAATCATTGAGTTCTTTTAAGCCTGGTGATTTTAGCCCACCCGTGACAATTCTATGGCCCATACTCAATCATTTACAAACTTCTATGATACAAAAAAGTGCCAATAATGTCAAGGTATTAGACAGAGTTTCAATATTCAAATACCTTGATATGTGAAAATGCCCTGATTGGTTGTATTCACTAAAGTACAATTCAATCGAGAAAAGTTTTAAATGATGTCAAGGTAATAGATGAAGTTCGTCATAGCTTGACCTTGTGACGCTTCTCTGATTGGTTGTATTCACTAAAGTACAATTCAATACAAGAAAAGTGTTAAATGATGTCAAGGTATTAGACAGACTTTGTCATAGCTTGACCTTGTGACGATGTTGATCTGTACCCTGAAGGCTAAAGGATGGACAAGCTGACCTGAGATCAATTGACAATATTAACCAGTTTATCATATATATTAGATTGTATTACATATATATAGAGATATAGAGAGAGATAGCCCTTGACCTCATGTTATAATATACTAACAGGTCAAATATCCATATTGACAGTGATAATGACTGGCTAGTGTAACTTCTAACAATCTCAACCTCAATGATCCTGGCTATTATTGTAAAATATCAACAAAACCGATGAGACCAATATTAATCCTGAATCACATGATACACATAAAAAATTTAGAAAACCTCTTTACAATTCCTTTGATGCTACTTGCCAAAAGCATCAATTTGCACCATTACAAGTTTCAATCAGATGTCTGTGGTTCCTGCAATTTCACTAAAACTAAGTGTTTGATGACATAACTAACCACGAAATATGCTGTATCACATAAAGCCCTTTGTGATTAGTGACTACATCAAATACATAGTTTTACAGGAACCACAGACGCCTGATTGAAAATTGTAATAATGTAAATTCATGCTATCAGTGTCCACGATACACATTTAGAAAACCTTTACAATTCCTTTAATTCATTAATTTTTATAATTTCAGTGTTTAACCGTGAGTGAATTGCTAAAATCATTCCATTTTGAAGATAAAGGCGTGTTATATTACGATGAATTTCGATATTTATGCCCTGCGTTGCTGTATCAGATAGAAAACAAGAGTTGTCTGAGAGCAGACTTTGATCGTCATTCCGTTCATGAACATATTCACCCTGATCACCCTGATCACCCTGATCACCACGAAGATCACCAGCACCATGGTGACGAACATCATCATCCTAATGTCTCGAAAGTTTCCACCAAAGGTATTTCAGCTAAAGGTGAGTGAATGTTAGATTCTGAGTTATCTTTCCTGCTCAATAACCAATCAATTTAAATAATTTGTATTTGTATTTGTATTTGTATTTGTAAGTTCAGGACGACGGTAGCAAGGCCCTTCGATGTAGTCTCTTCTTTCTTTCATCTAACATTGATAAGATGGAGCTCCACTCATTGTTTGTGTTGTTCAGAACAGGTGCTTTATTGTCCTTATTGGCTTTACCACACACTGGGTTCATCGGACATGATGTAGGTAGCTCTAGGTTGGATCTATTTAAATGAAAATCAAGATGTTACATTTTGTGTTTTTTCTGCAGGTGGCTCTACTTGCCATCCATGTTCTCACGAATTACTTATACATCTTGTGTTCGAGGTTATTTAGTTTTCAACAAATCAAATGCTCGGTTTAATGTTTAAATAAAAGATTTCCTTCCTAAAGTTGAAAAATTCTTGGACATACATTGTGAAACATTGGCTTGCATTGTTCGGAAACTTTTAGCAGTATTTTTGATTCTTGGACTGGAGTAAAGAGGAAAGACGACATATTCAGTTCTGATTTACAGCTGGGTCGATTGGAATGATGAAGCACGTTAATTCAATCAAGATTTCCGAGAATAATTTTGTCCTATTTTGTCCGATGTATATTATAATGGTAACTTGTTGGTATATAATCTAATAATAGTAATAACTATATGATATATTTCAGTATGGGGTTACAGTACTGTAGCAGTAATAATTATAAGTTTAGGTGGTCTACTTGGTGTGGCTGTCATTCCCATCATGCAAAAAGTCTTCTACAACCATCTTCTACAGTTCCTGGTAGCTCTGGCAGTCGGCGCCCTGGCTGGGGACTCTCTCCTTCATCTTCTTCCACATGTAAGTTGTTTAAATTTATCTTCAGACTTGTATCTGGAACTCAATACTGGGCCGGATTTGTCATTGATCTTTCCTGGATTAACCCATTGTTTCCTGGATTTACCCATTTACAACTGGGTAGACTGGAATTATGATGTAATATGAAGTACAACTGGGTAGACTGGAATTATGATGTAATATGAAGTACAACTGGGTAGACTGGAATTATGATGAAATATGAAGTATTTAGTACAACTGGGTAGACTGGAATTATGATGAAATATGAAGTATTTAGTACAACTGAGTAGACTAGAATTATGATGAAATATGAAGTATTTAGTACAACTGGGTAGACTGGAATTTTGATGAAATATGAAGTATTTAGTACAACTGAGTAGACTAGAATTATGATGAAATATGAAGTATTTAGTACAACTGGGTAGACTAGAATTATGATGAAATATGAAGTATTTAGTACAACTGAGTAGACTGGAATTATGATGAAATATGAAGTATTTAGTACAACTGAGTAGACTAGAATTATGATGAAATATGAAGTATTTAGTACAACTGGGTAGACTAGAATTATGATGAAATATGAAGTATTTAGTACAAATTAACAACTAGGTCAACTGGAGGAATGAGGAAATATGACGTATTGAAGATCATCAGATATTCACACACTGACAGAGATTAGAATCCACCGTCACAGATGAATTGTTAAAAGTCTAAAATGATAAGGAAACAAAACAATTCACGCGACTGTGATATAACACTCTGACTCAAACTCCATCTGTAGAATTATGTTACAGAATTAAAGAGATTGTAAAGAGGTTTTATAAAAAAAATGTATGTGTATTGGGAACAATGATATCATCAATTTACATCATTCTAATTTTCAATCAGACGTCTGTGGTTCCTGCAATTTCACTAAACATAAGTATTTGATGATGTCACTGATTGTAAAATATGCTTTTACCATATAACGCCTGTGATATTAGTGACATCATCAAATACTTAGTTTTAGTAGAATCGCAGGAACCACAAACGTCTGATTGAAATTAGAATGGTGTAAATTGATGCTATCAGTGTCCATACACATAAAAAAAACAAAAAAATCTCTTTACTATCTCTTTAAAGCTCTATATTTGGCTAGGTTGAAGATGAAAGGGTCAAATCTCATTGAAGAGGCAGTCTGGGAAATAATGTTCTTATATGCAACGATGCAAGAAAACGTAGAAAAAATGTCCTTTACCTTATATGAAAGTTTTATCTAAAAGTATCGTGTTGTTTAACTATCATTAAGAATTATTCAAATGAAAATTTTAATATTTAACTGTTACTTTCAGGCTATTACTGGTGGTCATTCACACGGAGAGGGAGATCACCATGGTAACAAGGAAAATGACACTCACATGTTATCTACCTATAAAGGTCTCATCGCTCTGACCGGAATGTTTTTCTTCTTTCTCATGGAGCGATCTTTAACCATCATGACAGATCTGAGACGCAAGAAAAAACAACTGGTAAGTATGGCGTTTAGTCTCTTTAAGAAGGGAGTAGTGACATGGTATTGCACAGCTTGTAGACTTAAAACTGTAGTAGAGTTAACTTGGATATAAACAAGGATATCAACTTATGCCCTGGAAAATCAAGTCTACCAGGTAGTTTCTGGTGAAACCTTGTATTGAGGATCAGGATCTCTAGGAACATGGCTACGTATTCTCGAAATGATCTTAGCGCTATGATGTCCTAGGTTCTTAACTTATCCCTAGTTGATTCTAGAATATCCTAGCGCTAAGATAGTTTCGAGAATACGTGACCTGGATGGGATATAGGGCCAGACATAAAATGTGGTACCTTTAAAACTCTGTAAGTTCAGTTTACCCCTCGACTGTATTGTGATGCAATGTGGAGCACAGAGACATTGTAGAATATCTGGTAATATCTTGATGGACTCATTAATGATTCAGCTTGGTAAAGATATAAAACGTTATGACTAATTTGACTGTTGTCATGGTGAGATTTGTCAAAAACTAGTCAGCTTATTAACAGGTCAAGATGAAATATGTCCTGAATTTTGTTCATCAACTCTTTTGTTTGACTAAAATCATAACTATTATTATTATTGTTATTTTCTATCGTTTTTAGAAAAGATTGAAATCTAAAAGAGCATTAAAGAAATGTACTGGAGATGGTCAAAAAGCCGTGGGAGCGAAATTATCATCACAGATAGACCAGGACTACCAGACGTGTGAAGAAATGGTGATGATAGTACATCCTAATAAAGGTAGGAAGAATTATATTGTTTGACTGTAGTCTGTAGAATGTCTTACTTCATTAGAGTTATTAACCTTTGTTTCCCCGTGTGGTATTCAGAGTCGTTTCCCCTTGTAGTCTTGTGTATCATGCTACAGTAGAAGTGCCTGGCTTGCGTTAGATTTTTGTTTTGCTTCATATTTAAAGGGATAGATGTGCCGTTTTAAAAGGTTGTTTTGAGTCTTGAAAATCACATAATTTCTTCAAAAAAATCTCAAACTGGGAATTTCTGTTCCTATTTCTATAAATGTAAACACTATTATTGATTGGCTGAGTTAAAGAAATTCTCTTTTGTGTCTGCACAACTGTCCCTTTAAACCTGCCCTGTGACTTACCGTATAATTTATTCTAAAAGTTTTTTATTAAGCAACAAGCGAGCAATTCACTGTTAATGTTGATATTTTGAAATTTTTTTGATTCAGACCAGTCGTTAGGGTGGGGTCCTTGGGGACTGGGCCCCAGCAAGTGAGAATTAAGCCCCAGCAAACCTTCTCTAGAGATTGATTCATTTACAGTGTCTTTGTACAAAATAAAAAAGATATAGATTTTGGTACGTTTTTGGCACCTCAGAATGGTCAGAAATGAGCCTTTTAATTCTTCGGAGCCTCAGCACCAATTCATTCATGGTGACGGGGCTGTTTTGATGTGAACGTACACTAGTAGTAAACAGTCTCCTGTACTTATTTTAGATAACCCTAACTGGGAAACACAGACAGGTGACTGTAAATTTACCTGCACTGTTATTTTAATATATAATCTTATAAATAAACAAACAAATCACTTGTTTATATTGATAAATGCATGGGCCTGGGTTTATTCAGATGACAGACAAACACAAAAATTGAAAATTATATTTGATGAAGGAAAAATTTGCTCAATTTACAGTTATATGCAAAAAATTTGTTTAGGTCAATTATCGGTTTAAGTCCAGCTTGCAATTACAAAAAAGATATAAGAATTTTGACAATATTTTTAATTAAATGGTTAATACACAGACATGATTGGATCTGCTTGTTAAAAACACTACTAACAAATTTCACTCAAAAAATAGTAATTTCTATTATCCTGTAAGCTTTTAATAGTAATAATAATAATTTATAACTTTTACTTAAACTTCAATTGGTAGAGGAATATAGCGCTACAGGGTTCAAAACTTTTAAAATATGATTCAAGGTGTCATTGTTAATCTGTATCCATGTGGTCTCCTGAGGGATGTTATTTCACCTGTATTTTCCATCCATGACTGACAGACCAGCTGACAGACTGACAGACTGTCGGACATCAAGTATAGGTATAAAGTGCCTATCAAAATATTTTAATTTAATTTCTTAATAACTTATAGACTTGAATGATATTTATTTTACATGACAATATTATATAATATACACACTTCTTTAATAATAATATTAAACACATAACGTTTCAACACAAACTACACGTGTCATCACCACATAAAATATGTTAAATTAACAAAAAGTTAAATTCCAAATATTCAGCATGAGGTTTTTGTGACTTTATATACTGCTTGTGTGATGGTTATAGTTATATTTTATTAATAAAAGCCTAATTTGTTTATATAATTATAAAGTTTTTTGGTTTTTGGTTATTTTTTTTTATTGCATGTTTTTCCAGATTTGGAAAAAGCTGTGTGTAAGTTTTAAAAACTGGCATTATCCCTTTAAATATCCCTTTAAATATCCGTATATATCTTATTATAATTCATTCATTCATCCTGTCTTCATAAGCCCATTTGGTGCAGAAAAGTAGGACTTGAAACTCCAATTCATTCATTCATTCATTCATTCATTCATTCATTCATTCATTCATTCATTCATTCATTCATTCATTCATTCATATCAATATCAATATCAATATCCTAATAATATAAAGGAACCAATTGATAATCATGCTCTAATCTATACTATAGCGAGGTCTTGTTTTAAACAAATCATGTGCTCCCCTTGTCCAATCCATTTAAAATTAAATTACATTTTCCTATCTTAGTTGTTTTTTGATATTTTTAGTCTCCATGGTAATTTAACCAGTTTTCTACCAATCAAAGTATGTTACGTTTAAAAGACAAATCTTGATAAAATAGAGAATTGTGGGATAGGGAAACCCAAAGAAGCTCTCATAATGCTCCATGTTAGTCTTCGCTATCCCACAATTCTTTTTATTCAGACCTGTGTGCTACAGGCCGTGCACGTTAAAGATTGAAAAAGAGCAGGCTAATGCCGCTGTCCTTGCAAAAATTTCCTCATTGCACCCTGCATGGTGTTGCCCGTCTTCATTAGCCCACATGATAAAGAAAAGTAGGACGTAAAACTCCATTCATTTCATTTTATTTTATTTTATTCTATTCAGAAACAGGTTTTAATGGTATGCTTTCATTGGTAAATAATTCCTTTGATAACAATGTACACTTACAATATCAGACAAGGCAAAAAGAAAGGAATTTGTTATTTAATTGTAATTAGATTCCTCCAAGGCCCCCCCCTCCCCCCTGTCAGACCTGACCTCTGTATGACAAATATATTCCTTAACTTTCATAGATATATATTATATTATAATAATCTGTTCCTAGCTCTGCTTGCTACCCTATGATATATTATTTATACAATATCTGTTTTATATACAAGAAGAATCATATCAAGTTATTATAAACTTCATCTTATACCTTGACTACAATAATGAGGTGCTTTGCTGTGTAGCATAAAATTTTAGTTGTTTTATTCAGTCAGGGAAGGGAAGTAATAAAATAGATCAAGAATACTGAAAGTTGTGATAAGGAGAAGGTTAAAAACACCTGTATTTGATGTATTCTAAACTTATTGTAATAAAACTTGACATCAAATACTGTCATTTTATCATATTATTATATTTCGTATATTGTTGACACTCAATTCAAATCAATTCATCAATCTATTGATTCTAATATCCATTCTTATTTCCTCGTAAACACTCTACAGTTAACAGTTTTCAATTAATTTGGCTGAAACATGAAATGTGGCCATATAATTATAGAATGAAATTTTATTTTGAATGATTTCCTGTTATAGATAAAAATGTTTTTGCCACTGTCTCCAAAATTATTCCAAAATGATTTTTAATCCTAAAAATACTTTAGTTTATTTGATTTTTACCCAAGTTCCAATAAAATTCTTAAGTATATTTTTTGGCCAATGAAATAAAAGGAAATTTTAAATCTATTTGGTACTATTTTTTGGTAAATGAAGATTGTTTATGAAAACAGTATGACCTGTCCTGACAAAATCACAATGTTAAATTCTCCTGGACTTCAAATGTTTTAATATCCTGAATTCTATCAGTTACCAGTAAAAATGTTATCATATTTTGATTGTTTTTTTAATGAATTTTGATGTTGATTTGAGTAAAATTGTTAGATTTATGATAATATTAGGTTAAGATATGGTATTTTATAAATGAATTATAATAATATTATTTGTAGGTTATTGTTCTGTGTTGAAAGATATATTGTAGTTACTATTGTTTTTATATTTTATAACTGATGACAAATTGAAGTGTGATTAGTAAAAATGATGTCAGAATTTTGAATATTTGACCTTGAAACATGAAACGTTTCCCTCTGTCCTGAATGTGTTAGATGAATCATTGAGTTTAAAAGATTTTTCTGTGGCAACTTGAATAATTTCCTTGTCTAAAATCTAAAATCTTTAAAACTAATAATTCAATGATATTCCATACAATTGAGAGGAAATTCCTGAGATTGGCCCCAGTTCTCAAATTTCAAAGGGTGTGAGCACATGAAGATCTTTGTCAACAAATTTGGTTGTTGACTAGAGTCTTGTCGCAAGTTTTGCCGACTGGCTGCGGACGCATGATGAGGCAAAAAATCTGAAGTGAGGCAGTTTCCCCTATTTTGATAATCACTTGCGGATCATGAAAAAGGTAGATGAATCTGATTGGATGATGATGCTCCGTCATGCAGATGATAAGATAATCGTTGACAAAATGGTTTTATAAATCTGGTTATAAAAGCATGGGTACATGTGAAATTTTACTCCACTTCCTGTGGACACCACTAGAAAATGTTGTAGTCCTATCTTTCTTCTCACCTAAACCAATAATTGGACAATCTGAACACAGAAATCTACAACAGTGTCAAGTAAAGATCTCTGTAGCTCTCATGATAGAGTGAACATTCTGTCCACAAAATACACCTGTAGAATGAAATTTATGGTCATGAATAAAACCAAATTAATTTCTGTATTTTCAGCGTTGAAGAATCTGGCAGACGACACCCACGATAGTTTTCATCACAGTCATTCCATCAACTCTAAAGGGGAAGAGGAAGATGAAAACATGCTGGGAGCAAATAATTCTCACCATGGCCACTCCCATCATAGTCACACTGGAGACGTCAAACATCAATCCATCGCGGCCATTGCCTGGATGGTTATTTTAGGAGACGGTATTCACAATTTCAGCGATGGTCTGGCAATCGGTGCTGCATTCGCTAACTCTATTACTGGTGGAATCAGTACGTCTATTGCTGTACTCTGTCACGAACTTCCTCATGAAATAGGTAGGTAGAATTTGTTTTATTTTTTGAAATATTGGGGGGAGGGGGCTAGCTATTCTGTCCTTGTAAATCTCTGTTCACATCTTTATAGAGGGAGTATGTGCCAGTACAGGACAGGATTTGTTACATCAATGTGTTGTAATGACGTGACTGTTCAAAAGCTGTAAATAATATATAAGGACCTTTCGATAGGATGTTATAAAACACTTAGTTTTAGTAGAATTGCAGGAACCACAGACATCATGTAAACTTTCTACAAACTGTAATCAAATTAATTGTGAAAGTAAATTAAGTGAGGTAGTTCTGTAAATTATAATATAAAAACACCAAGATAAGGGTCTTGTAAAATGAAATTAAAGAGAAACTGATAGTATCAATTTGCACCATTTCAATTCCAATCTGTGGTTCCTGCAATGCTTTATCACATAAGTTCTGGAGATTAGTGATGTTATCACACACTTAGTTTTGGTGAAATTGCAGGAACCATATACATCTGATTTAAAATTTAAATGGTGTAAATTGATGCTATCAATTTCTCTGATACACATAATTAGGGGTAATAAAATTCTGTACAAGCAAGACAATTCTGTCAATCAAAACTTCATACAAAGTATAGCAAAATGAAGATTAAAAGTTGTATAGTCATCAACTGTTTTGAATAGAGTGAATATAAACTGCTTTGCACACGACACCCGTCACTAAAATGATCTATTAAATTTGAAGTAACTAATCATATTTTTTTTCAAATTTATTTATTATTTTTTTTAAGTTTAAAAATGTTATATTATGTTGATTTATTATGTAAGTTATTTTAGTCTCTGCCTTGAAGGGTACTAACCTAGTACAATCTTTATAAAAAGTTATGGTTCAAAAGTTTAAACATGTCACCAGGCAATTTGTACTTGGTAATAGTACAGTGCTATAAAACATTGTTAAGGAGGTTTTTCTCTAAGTTTAAAGAGATACTAAAAAGGTTTTCTTACTCTAAGTATATCAGGGACACTGATAGCATCAATTAGCACCATTTTAATTTCAGTCCACCTTCTGTGGTTCCTGCAATTCTGCTAACTCAGTGTCTCAAAATTGCTGTATAATCGAAGGACCTTCCCTATTTAAAACAATGTTTCTATTTTTTTAATGATAAATTGAATATTTTTAAAAGCTTTTAATCCTAGAACTAGGTTTGACATTTCCTGGAAATAAATTTGACAAAAATTGAAAAACATGTACATGAAAAAAAACTTTGAAAATATATTATGTTTGATTGACAACAATCTGAAACAATAATTGTTGAAAATATAGGAGAAGGAATATTTTGGAAGTAAAAGGGTGAAGTTAGTATTTTCACAACTGTATAAAAAACATCATCTATAACATCTTATTCTTTACTTTAAACATTCTGTATATTAACTTTTCATTATATCACAAATTCCCAAAAAGGGGAAACCATTTAAAACTATAATATTGTCCTGTTATGTGACGTTTCAGCTTACTGTCTTCTTTAGATGTCTCTGAAACGTTAAATAACAGGACAATAATATAGTATAAAATTTTCATTATTAAAAGAAGTAAATTATAACTGAAAATATTTCTACAGTATGTTATTTATATCTATATATCTTCTTGATCAAACTGAATTGGTTTTAAAAGGGTTAATTAAAAACATTGTAAATTATACCTGAAAATATTTCTACAGTATGTTATTTATATCTATATATCTTCTTGATCAAACTGAATTGGTTTTAAAAGGGTTAATTAAAAACATTGTAAATTATACCTGAAAATATTTCTAAAGTATGTTATTTATATCTATATATCTTCTTGATCAAACTGAATTGGTTTTAAAAGGGTTAATTAAAAACATTGTAAATTATACCTGAAAATATTTCTAAAGTATGTTATTTATATCTATATATCTTCTTGATCAAACTGAATCTACTGAATTTACTAGAAAAATCAACTGAAATATTGAAAGCTCACTCATTAATTTTCTGATTACAGGAGATTTTGCAGTATTACTACGAGCTGGTATGAATATGAGACAAGCTGTGATGTACAACTGTGTATCTTCTATACTGTGTTTTATCGGCATGTTGATTGGGGTGGTGCTTGGAAATATCAACGAAGCCTCATTATGGATATTTGCGTGTGTGGGTGGAATGTTTTTATATATTGCTCTAGTTGATATGGTAAGTTGGAAGAAGATCAGTAATAGAGTAGAGTTTACTTACACTTGTAGAATATTAAATTCTACTCTACCCTCTGGGTTTGTGAATTTGACACAGGTCTGTGTTATAGGTCGTCTATATAACTAATGACCTGTATTATCTATAGTTTGTAAACTCAATACTATTGTTGATGTGGTATTTGAGTTTCTCAAGCATCACTTTCAGAGAGTCTACATGGCTAACATATAAATGAGATAGTAACTTTTCCTAATCAGAGGTTTTTAGGTTAAAGGGAGATAACTTATTATTGAGTTACAATAAAACAGACCATAATTGATTGACTTTGTATTTTCAAAGAAAAATTGATTGCAGTTTTAATTTTCTGTATAATTTTGTAACAAATAATTTTTTACGAATAATTCTACTTTATTTTTCAGCTTCCTGAAATGACGTCAGTAGAAACGAAACACGGAGAGAATCCGTATTGTCATCTGTTATTCCAGTGTGCTGGAATGATTCTAGGGGCTGGAATTATGTTAATTGTAGCCGCCTACGAACCAGACCTATTATCAGTACTTGATAATCATTGATATACTCACCCTTATCCAATCTTTTACGGACCAAAACTCACAATATTACTTGGTGTCAGAAACATCATCCAGACTTAACAATGCTTTCTCACATAGACACATCTTCACAATGTACTGCGTCTTATACCTTGACTACAATAGCCACCTTGCTTGTATCACCATCTTCACAATCTCAAACTATTACAAACTTCATCTTCACAATTTCAAGCTATTACAAAGTTCTTCTTATACCTTGACTACAATAGCCAGCTTTCTTGTATCAAGAAATGCAGCAATTTGATAGGATTGTAAGTTAGTTAATACAGCCAATCAGAGTTCTCTACACAAGGTCTGTAAACACTAAGCCATAATGTTTACAGTCTTTCTGTAGAGGACTCTGATTGGCTGTATTCACTTACGTACAATCCAATCAAATTGCTGCATTCCATGATACAAATAGTCAAATACAAACTTCTTATAAGATGATATAGACCTGACATTGTGAAGATGATATAGACCTGACATTGTGAAGATGATATAGACCTGACATTGTGAAGATGATATAGACCTGACATTGTGAAGATGATATAGACCTGACATTGTGAAGATGATATAGACCTGGAAGAGAATATCATGTACGCTATTTTAGTACCAGTTTTGCTCAACCATCAATCATTAACATTTGTGTTTTTACTTAAATATGATTTTTTATGAAGAATAATTTATATGAGATATAACAGTGATATTTATGTGTTAATAGAGCTATATAGAAGAGATAACACTCTATTGTATAAATAATCTGATTTGATACCAGAATGTTGTCCTCTGTTAATTATTTTACAAATTAATAGATCTTTAAACATACATTGAGATATTTATTTGGTTTTAAAATAGGGGTGTCAGTTAGAGCTTTAGATTTTGTTCAGTTGAGTTGAACCAATGGTGATTGTGGGTTTTAATCTTGGTCGAGGAATGGCAGTCTGGTGAAATTGAATATTTCACCCTTCCTCTTAATTCCAATTACCAACCTCTTGATGTTTTCAGAATCCATACTCATTTACAGCTAGGTTGACTCATTTACAGCTGGGTTGACTCATTTACAGTTAGGTTGACTGGAATAATGAGGAAAGATGACTTATTCAGTACCCATTTACAGCTGGGTCGACTGTAATAATGAGGAAAGATGATTTATTCAGTACCCATTTACAGCTGGGTCGACTGGAGTAATAATGACAGATGACTAATTCAAGCCTTTTGCAAGCTGATTGAGATTAGAACCCACAATTACCAGATTTTTGAAAGAGCATATGACATCAAGATTCTAACAGTCTAACTGATTGGGCTACAACTCATCTTCAATAATAATAACTGTATGATGTTTCTGATACCAAGGCTTAGACAACTTATATATAATGTGCTTGGAGATCTTGTGCTTGTCGTTTGGTGTATATTTTTTTAAGGAAGAGATACTTCCGTTATTTGTTATTATTTTTGGTTTTGCGAAGTTTTTGCAAAATATATTTTTTTAAATTGGAAATGGAGAAAATGGTATTTTGTGTGAAGATGTGAAAAAATCATGATTTTATTTTATTTGAATTTGTTAAGATATGATTAATGATGGTAATTTCTGCATTTAAGTAGGAAATATATCCTCTCAGGCGACACAGTAGCGCTTTGATTTTAACAATCACACCTAAGCCTAAGTCGTCTTTTCTTGAAACACTGCCATATATAGAAAAGACATCTATAGAAAAAGTAAAAGAAATTCCAAGTTTGAGATATTTTTAAAGAAATTATGTGATTTTCATACATTACAAGTACTTCTGAAGACTATTTATATATATTCAAGAATCAAATCAACCCCCCTAAATGGTGCATTTGTCCCTTTAAATTGCTAATAATTGTCAGATTATTCTTAGACCAAAGTAACATCTGACCCAATACCAGCCTCTTATAGCTATTTGACAGTGTTGTCGGCTGGTGTAGAGACAGAAAACCTAAGCCTTGTTTTGTGGGGATTTTACACACGTTCGAGTATGTATATAAATTGGAGCCAAACCAAATAGAATTTGGAAGATAGAAAGATTGATATTTTTGTAGTTTGATCATACCATGATAATCCCCTTACACAAATTATGTCACGTGTGTAATTCCATCAAACTGATCTCTCGTCAGCCATTGAAGTCCTGGCAACTGTCAAAATAGTTATAAGAGACTGAACTAAAGGCAGATGTTTCGGACTATGTTATTTTTTGTAGGATATTGTTAAATTCAGCCAGAATACAATCCTTATTCATGTAATTCTGAGGGTTGAACCCTTGCCGATATTTTTTCTGATATACATGTATTAAACACTTTATAAATCTAATGTATTTAATTTATTTAATCATTACCCCATCCCCCCCCCCTCCTTTAATAGAATGTAATCCAATCATTATTGGATTAATATAGTAAAGTTGAGATAAAACCTGCAAAAGTATCTGTCTGAAGCTCACCAGTCTTTAATTTATTGTCCGAACGACTAGACCTTCAAGATATCCGACCAATCGCTTACTGCTATGTTCAGTGTAGTAAGTTTCAAGTTGGTGTAGAGTGATATATACATGAGAATATTTACATCAGTTCAACACTAAATAACTGTTTGAATAGCTCGATCCAAGATTGTCATATTAGTTCGTTGTATGTACCTTTAATGTGTGTATTTGATACAATAAACGTATCTTATCTTATGTATTACTACAGTATAGTGGAAAACGATTTTCATAATATACATTATATATCACCGTTCACCCCCAGTCATACCCATCTCCCACCCTCATCTACTTTTAATAAATCCCGTCCTTCCCCTCCCCATACCCCCACCCCCTTAGATCAGTCACATGTAGTAATGATGTGCGTCAGACCGTAACTGACTCCGATATCGTCCAAACTATCTTGAAGTATACTGGTCCAGATGCGACAGGTAGTATTGGATACAACCTGTAATCCCATACAATACGGATTGACTGCACAAATCTCAGCACAGGATTGGGCGTTAGCTACATTATAATATTGAGCAGTATTATGTACTGCATGGACCTGCTTGGTAAATTCGTACCCTGTAACAAAAAGAGTGACGATGTTATACTATAAATATTGTATATCTTCGGTTGTTAACTCGACACCCCTTTCAGAGAGTTTCGTGCCTATGTATGTTTCAATGGTGTTTCTACGAAGGGAAGAGCCTGGCCCAGCTTTAAATATGCGGCAACTCTATGAAGGTGTCAAAGTCGTAAGCCTGTCATGGAGTGTCTGAAAGAGTTCTCCTTGCATTCTTACATACAATTTGGTTTAAAAAATGTTTAAAAAGTATATTTTCAAATTTGTTAAAAACTTTGTTAAAAGCGGGGGAAGAAATGACCACCAGCCCTCACTGGTGTCGCCACTATTTCCAGGTAGTACATACACGTAATGGCTTACTTTTTATACCTGAATGTAGATCTACCTTCTTATTACAAAACTTCTCACCCTCTTTTCATGTTGCCCGATATTTTTAGGCACAATTCATTTCACAACTTAATTTTTAGAGCATTACCCGAGAACACTGCATGTCTGTCCGAGGGTGTTTTCGGTCGCTAGGGGCAGTTGAGGGTGAGGGGTGGGGGGGTCTCCCACGCCTTTTATCAGAATCAACTATTGACTTACTTATAACAGGGTCTGTGTTTTTGGTTCCATAAATCTCGATTTCACAATATCCGGTTCGTAGGGTGTTAAGAGATCGGATACGAACGAAGCGACCTGTACATATCGAGAGACAAGAAGTATTATGGTCTGGAATGGCGGTCTGGCTGAGACAAGGACAAGGCCTCGATACCGGTTTTTCTGTGCTAGCTGCTAGAAATGGGTTCGTTTCTATTATCTCCACAGTCATATTATCAAAAGCACCACCTGAAATTAAACAGGACAGAAAGAAATTCAGGTTTATTAGATTTTTTATGAGTATCGATGCCATTTATGTTTTTCATTTCAATATTCCACCATTAATGCCTGTAAGTACACGTCTTTAACCAAACGTTACCAACTTGTCTTGAAGTGTTGACACGAAAACAAGTTATTCAGTAGGGACGCACGCTGAAAATAGATCAATTGATTTAAACATATTTTATTACAACAAATGTAAAAGGATTTGGCAAAAGTTACAAAAACTTACAAAACTGCCATTTCCAACATATAACTGTCATATTTGTACAAAAATCTGGGAAGGTGTGCTCAGGGTGCCAGGTGCAGAGAGTGAAAAAATGGATCAATTGTCTGAAATTCTGAGTAACATGATTCAAGTTCTGTTTCAATATTTCTAAGTAGATGAATAAATCGATAAATTATAACTAACAAAAATAATGATAATAATAATATATTCTGATAATGATGACGATGATGATGATAATGATGATGATGATGATCTTGGCTTCTCAAGAACATGTCAGCCTGCGCTCGGGGCGAAAAAGGAAACCGAAGGAGTCATACCAACCTGCAGCTCCAACTGTATTGAGCTTAATACGGAAAGCTGTCACATCATATCGACCAGTTAAATCAATAACTACCCATTGAGGATCATCAGAAAGTAATGGCGAAGCATCACACGTAGTCTCGTCACCGTCAACATATTTTGCGGAGGCAGTATATGATATACTGTTGGCTCGGATTGGTTTGTTGTACGCCAAGTTACAGTCAACTGAAATAAATTTATGATATATAATGCATACGAAACTAGTATTGTTCGTATCTGTTAATTACACACAACAACCATTTCGAATCACTTCCTCGACTTAATAAGTTAAATTTAAAAAATAAAATAGTTTTTATATTTCAATTAAGAACTCGAAGAATATTTCAAGGTTTAGAAAAGGGCTGTCAATAAGATTTGAATGTATTGTTGAAATATTAATACCTTTTCCAAATTCGACTTATTAAATCGGGAAAGTTATTCAAAATGTCGTGTGTTATATCAATACACGTAGTTTCATATGAGATATAATTCTCCAACGAATCTTTTATAACATACCATAGGATAAAACTTTATACAAATATTTTAATAGAAATTCATCACATAGTTTGTAACAAACGTAATTTCTAAATTGTAATCAACGGCAATTTAATTGGGACGCTTTTAAACATTTGATTGATTGATTGATTGATTGATTAAATGAATGAATGAATGAATGAATGATGGAATGAATGAATGATGATTAAATGAATGATTGAATGAATGAATGAATGATTGAATGATGGAATGAATCAATAATGAATGATGTAATGAATGATGTAATGAATGAATGAATGATGTAATGAATGAATGAATGAATGATGTAATGAATGAATGATTGAATGAAAGGATGATGGAATGAATGAATGATTGAATGAATGATGGAATGATGTAATGAATGAATGATTGAATGAAAGGATGATGTAATGAATGAATGATTGAATGAAAGGATGATGGAATGAATGAATGAATGATGTAATGAATGATGGAATGAATGAATGATGTAATGATTGATTGAATGAATGATGGAATGAATGAATGAATGAATGATGTAATGAATGAATGATTGAATGAAAGGATGATGGAATGAATGAATGGATGAATGAATGGATGAAAACTGGTATCACGTGTCTAGAAGAGTAAGCACACCCTTCCTGGTGCCACACCCATCATAGCTGCACAACATACACAACAAACATGACAAATAGGAATGTGCCAACAAAAAACAGCGACTTGACCAATGAATTTTAAAAGTTCAAGGGACGTAACTGATGAAAATATATTTCTTTAGTTCCAATAGTCAAGGGAGGGAACTGATCACAATAATGTTATTATGATAAGAAAAAACAACAAGCCATCCTAAACCAACTCAAGTGAGTATAGAACAATTGTTTTTATATTCTAAGATAAATAAACCAACCCAAATATCCCAAACCATCTCAAAAGAACCCTAAATCAACTCAACTACCCCGAATCAAATCTACAAATCAACAAGTATGTACAGAGCAATAACCTTATTTATATATTTTAAGATAAAAGTGGAGCAAATTGTGTTTTTTCTTTGTCTGTTATTAATGTAGTGAAAGAAGATAAAAATCTAAAACGAAATTCCATGTCTGTGAAAATTGTTTTATGATTTATCAATAATTATCTACAGTCATCAGAGTACATATTCTTCACAAATATTGATATATAGAAATTCTAAAATGTTACGAGAAAAACAACAACACACAAATAATCTGGCGACATGTGTAATCTGGCGACATGTGCAAATTGTGTAGAAACGTTTTGTACTTTGTTTTTTAAAGAAGTTGTAAAGAGATTTACGCGGACGTCTGATTGAAAATTGGAATGGTGCAAATTGATGCTATCATTGTTCCCGTTACACATAAAAACATTAGAAAATCTTTTAACAATCCCTTTAAGAAAAAGCTTCTACCATTGTTACATCATCTTGTGTTTTGTTTTAGCGTAAAGACCATCTTGATTGGGATGATCTGTTTAATCTCGTTATCTAGTTGTTGTCTTGTGATTATTGATTGGTGATTGTTTTCTATGTTTATATGTCAGTCAACAATCGATTTATTAACGTTATGTCAAGTTTTTTTATTTTATACCTCAAGATACAGGTACTTAACTTTTCTATAGAGAAATAATCTGATACATCGCAGATCAATAACACCAGTAGCCCGTAGTCCCAACTTGATTGTTCCGAGGGGCAATGATGAATAGTGCTTTGCCAATATTTTTTTTTTAAGGAGGGGTGGGGGGCAATCCACTTTTTTGTGGATTAGTTACGGGCCTGTGTGCACTGTCAATAAAAAACACTGTAGCTGATTACGCTGCCGAGGCAGGTCATGCTTACCTTCACGAGACCTGATGCCTGACTTCAGAATCCAGTTTTGAGATCCAACACTGTTAACAAACTAAATCTGTTATATGACATAATACGAGTACATATCTAGGCTACAATTTCATACTAATACATTGTTAAATTACTGTATATAAAAATATCAACAACGAAACGTTTATTTCTATCTTTTTAACGATTACGACAAGTGCAGAGTTCTTTGAAATTGTTTGTATCCATTGAAGAGTCATTGAATTTGTTTGTGGTTTCTATAATTAACGATTTGATAGATCTATTTTTGAAAATAATCCATAATAATTGATCAAGTATTTTAAGAAAATAAAACTTTTTAAATCAAGAAAAATAAATTTTTCCCCATACATTTTACATACTAAAACAAAAATAAACAGCAGGTTTACAAGCTATATGTACCATTGTCTAAAACGTTTAAATATTGTATAAGATAAGTATCAAATCTGTACAAGCAAAACAATTCCACTATTCAAAAATCTCGCCCAAAGCATGACTTAAACCGGGAGTGACAGTAGTATAGTAGAAGTTCCATCAGGTGTTTCGAAGGTATTAGCATGGACTTCTTCGCCTGTGACACTCCCCACTTCTATAATGGGCAAAATCGCGAGATACAATCAGATCAATTCATTCCCCACCAAACAAATTAATCACAATACGATCCTTTAATAATAATTACAGTTACGTTTTATTTTCCATCCTTTAACATTATTTCCTTTCCCCTTCTCGTGATTTCATATCTTAATCTTTGTTGGAATTTATTGGTTTCATTATTCAATCGCTAACATTTCCATCATTTTTATTACTTACTGCATGTTGTTGCTCGTCTTCATTAGTGTAATCAGGTGCAGAAAAGTAAGGCTTAAAACTCCTTTTATTTCTTTTTTTCAATGCTAATCCTCCTGAGACCTAATTCTTCAAAGTTTTTAAATTTTAGAAATATTTTATTAAATTCAAAAAGTTTAACTTACCTGATTCCAGAATGGACAGAAGTAACAGGATCAGCAGAACCATCTTCCTCTTGGGCCGATCTCTAGTCGAATCCCTGCTCATTAAAACAACTTAACTGGTAATGGTACACAAGTAGATCTTGTCGTTTATTGATCAACCAGTAAGTCTATAGGTTAAAGATGGGTTCCCTCATTTCATATATGAAAATCAAAATACTAATACTTATATGAATAGAAAGTAGAGGTGTTCTAATGACTTGGAAATATACCAGTTTGTCTCACATGTCCATAATTAATTAGAAGAGAAATACCAGCCGAATTTCAATGAGTGACAGATCAAAAAAAGGTCAAAAAGTCTTTTTTTGTTTATCCAGACTGTACATACATGGACATTTATTATTGGTTAAAACTGAAATTATATGCAATAAGAAAATAATGATATGATAAAGAATATATGATAATTCATTAGAAACACCAATTAATCAAATAGTTTGCTTCATTTGACACTAAAAAGTAAGGAAACCCATCTTTAAGACAAGTTAAGTCAATATAATCATTTTTTCGTCTAAGAACTTAGAAAATATTTTAAGAAGAACACTACCTTAATTAATAAGAGAGAAAATCTAGAGTTGAATAGGTAAATAGATGGAAACTTGAAAAAATACAAACCCATCGTTCCAGCATCTTCACAATGTCATTGTTTCACGAACTCGCTCTTTTCTTGTTTTTTTGTAGCGATGTCATTGGATTGTATTCAGCAGAATACAGCCAATTTGAGCCATCGATTAAACAGCCGAATCGTACAGTCTTCGATAATCGATATATATCATACCAGCACTAGTTCGTAATATCTTGACATTATGAAGATGTCGTTCCATATGAGTTCAGATCTAGAATAAAACTAGAATTTCACGGTATGGAAATATCAATATTGGTCTCAAATCTTCTATAGAACGAACTCATCCACCAAACACACAGGACGTAACCGGGTTTGATTCGGGTAAAAAAGACTGTATAAATCGAATAATTTCAAACGCTTTTACGAACACCTGAATTTGTCCTTCTAATAGATTTTCATCGAGATAACTATGAGATCACCATTCGCTATTTTGTCGTCTTTCTTTGAAGGATGTTTCTTTCTGACTATGGTTGAATAAATTGGTATTTTTGTGAGTGTTACATTGTAATTGTTTATCAAATCGAGATATATTATGGAAGATATATTGATATATGTTAAGTTTGTTGCGTAAAGACAAAATGATATTTATTTTTAATGAAGCCACCAAGACGATTAGACGGCATGAAAACATTAATAGGTCGAGTTATTTATTTGATACTCTTTAATCATGATAGTGGAGAACGAATCATTGTATCTAGCTATCAAGCGTATTGTTACATTATACCAGTGATCCGGCACATCGTCAACTTCCATAATAACCTATTACACTAGTATCATATCGTATTGTCAACTTACATAATAACCTATTACACTAGTATCATATCGTATTGTCAACTTACATAATAACCTATTACACTAGTATCATATCGTATTGTCAACTTACATAATAACCTATTACACTAGTATCATATCGTATTGTCAACTTACATAATAACCTATTACACTAGTATCATATCGTATTGTCAAACGAAACTACTTGTTGTTTTTACAACCAGGTTAGGTGTGTGGTTTCTTATGATCGTGTTGTATCACACAGTATTGTATCACATCTAATCGTACAGTATTATATCGCATTGTATCACATCTAATCGTACAGTATTATATCGCATTGTATCACATCGTATCGTACAGTCTTATATCACATTATATCACATCACATTGCATAACATCGTATCGTACAGTATTATATCGCATTTCATCACATCGTATGGTAATCACATCGTGTTGAATCACATCGTGTTGTATCACATCGCATTGTATCACATCGTATTGTATCATAACGTATTGAATCACAGTGTGTTGTAGCTATCACATTGTATCACATCGTATGGTATCACATCGTATTGTATCACATCGTATTGTATCACATCGCGTTGTATCACATCTATTACAGTATTATATCGCATTGTATCACATCGTGTGATATCACATCGTATTGCATCATATCGTATTGTATAACATCGTATCGTACAGTCATATCTTGTTATATTGTATTGTAACACCGAGGATCCATGTCGACTGATATTTCTCTTGATCTCACCATGTCATTCACACTCGACAGTAGAGGGAACGCTCGGGGAGAAAAAAGGTAAAAAACGAGCAACTGACACCATCTGATGAAAACTGTGGGTTTTTTTTCTGGTAAATTCAGCCTTTGATCAGGTTCTGCTCAGTTGCTGTCTGATTTCTACCTGAAGAAGGATCAAACTGGGCCAACAGTGATTGGGAAGTTGAAAGTCTCTGAAAAGCTGCATAAACTTAGGAGATGACATTTTGTTATTCAGGTTTGTCAACTCGATATTACTCTAGATGATATTTTTTGGTGAGTGTATTACTATATATATAGCCTGATAGATGATCTGAGAGCTGGGAAAATAATACCCAAAGAACTGATTTTTGTTTTATTTGAAAATAAATGCCTAGTGGACTTTTTAGAAAAATGGCCCGAGGAATCCGATTTGGGGAAATAATATATGGCTGGTTGAAATCCACGAATTCACTCCTTGTGACAAACAAATCACATCTTCTGACCTGGTGATACAACTTCCCAAAGAAATGATATTTGCTTGATATAAAAGTGCATGCCTAGTAAACTTTATAGAAAAAGTTCCCATGATCGTGAAAAAGGCGGTTTCGTTTTTACCAGGCTTAGAAAGACTAACTACTAGTGACCACAAATACGTCATCACCAGTATCAGTGACCAACAAAGTACTAAATAAATTCTCGATGTGTCATGTTTTTACAATGATGTATTGTCTAACGGCACCCTGTTACCACCGGATCTAGTTTTAATCTGTCCGTAATACTGATCATATTTCATTCAGTTTGGTAACACCGAGCTAGAAAATAACCTAAGTTGGTACGAGATATGTGACGATAGGTTGGTGGTACGACTAAAACTCCCAACTTGGCATCCTTCTCAGAGAGTTCAATGTCTCAACTTGATGAGGTCCTCTACCCTCCTCTAAAGTTTTTTAACATATGCTCTCCTGAATATTTTCTGGGGGTGAGCACCCTCTTAGGGGTGGAGGTCCGTGGACTTGGTTCAACCAGTCCCTATGTCAGGTAAGCCAGTGAGAGTCCACATAGGTGATAATATTTATTGGTATATATATTTTAGAATAAAGAGGAGATAAAACAAACAACGGAAAAAAATCTTCATGGATCCTGTCTACTAGCTGATCTTTGACAAGGCTTCTAGGTACATGTATCTAGTTTGTAAGAATGGCAACTAAGGTTCCTTTTGCCATTGATCGTTTTGACAACTTTTAAAGCAGTCAACTTTCAATAACTCTAGTCGAGAGAATAAAAACTACAGCTCCCTGTCTTGATAGTATCTATCTCAAATATATCTCATATTGTATACAAGAAAAATCATACACGCCTAAATATAGACCCCCGTTATAATGGTCTGCTTTTAGACGCCACGTTTCACATTACAACAGGAAGTTTTTATGAAATCTAATCAAGTCAGGGAACGAAACATGCAATGATCTAATAAAAACATAACAGAAAAAAATAGCAACAAATGGTCTTAAAGGATTACTAGTTTGTTCAGCTATAAAAAATGATTAGTAAATTCCAGTCAGGACAAACAAATGATTATTGTTAGGATTCTGTTCATTTTCTCCTATTGTGGAAATATCAATCAATTAACTGTACATTCTACAACCAACAATCGCAACATGTCGCTATGTCTACTTTATAATTGTCTCGAACAGATATAGTTCACTGTAAGAGTGGCCGATGTCGCCATGCTTACTCTTTTCGAAACACTTAGTGCTACTTCTCTTTGGAGGAATCCACTACTATACAACCTTTATTTCCGATTTTGCCACGCTCTGGACGAGATTTGGATTGATGGAATTGTCTAGCTTGAACGAATTTTAATTCATAGTTTCACTCTCGAAAAGCTGTTGGAAAAGAAAACAATCAACCAACAACTACCTAGTCTGTGATATCAGTTAACTGGAAGCGAACGTTAACTTGTCAACTACCAACAACTGTTAATTGCGAGGTATGATAGATATCAGTAAGTTTCGACAGATTACAGGAATAGCTAGAAACAATAGACAATAATAGGTTGATATTATTTTTCTAGTGATTTATCAGATGGTAGTAAACCAGATTACTGTTACCTCACATTATCTTTTATTATTTATACTATTGGTAGATCCTTATATATTACTGAACCCTGTTATTTATAGTCTTTGATGGAGGTACAAGGGTTAGGGTGGGGTTGACTTGGAATGGGACATTAACTGGCGTATATATACACGAAAGACTTGCTCGATAAATCTTAGCTTTACACGTTCCTTGGACTTGGACTCGGTTCTTCTTGCGATCAAAATTATGAAGAACCCCTGCCAGAATGCCTTTTTTAAATACAGTGTAACCTTTTCCGTTTCCGTTCCCGATAAAATTGTGCGGTTTAAACGAATCTCCAGAGAATTGAAACATGCCTTAACTAGAGTTATGTCCCTTCCTGTTTGGACACCTGCCAAGTTTGACGTACACAACACATAACAATCTCTCATACAGTTCCTTGCAGACTCTTTCCATGTATTGTTACTGTAAGGAACGACAACTCTGTATAAGAGAATGAACACGTGATAAACATGCATGCTCTCTGTGTACCGATACGTCGTGGAGAACCCGGGTTATTTATAATTGTTCATATCAGTCCAATGCCTTTATCATTCTTTTTTTATTTTTTTAAAGATGATTAACCAGTCATAAATGTCCATGTATGTACAGTCTGGATAAACAAAAAAAAAAGAAGACTTTTTGACCTTTCTTGATCGGTCACTCATTGGAATTCTGCTGGTAATTCTCTTCTTATTTAGCTAATTATGATTTAATTATGGACATGTGAGACAAACTG